GAGAGAGAGAGAGAGAGAGGAGAGAGAAAGAGAGAGTCCATTTTGTGGCACAGGAGGACTCCCACCATAGAGCTGATCAAACTTTTACATTCCAAAGTCAAAGGTTAAATAAAGGAAAGGAAATGTTTTTTGTCAAATAGTCAGGTAACCACTAACGGTCTGAGTGATCAGCAGGAACCTAACTTATAGTAATCAAATAAAACTAAGGAAACTGCCTTTCCGTAGAAAAACGTCTAATGTCTAGAGGCTGTTTTTCTGTCTGGAAAATTGACACAAAATGTGTAAAATTGAAACATTCTGCTTCTAAGGGATTTGCCTAAAGGAAGAGTGTGAAAGCATGGAGTTTGGTATGAGTTAAAGGGGACAAGGGGAACTACAAAGGCCCTAAACATAAATCTGTCTTCCTTATTAAGAGTATTTCATTTTGAACACTTGGCAACAATTTTATAGTCATAAAATTATGTTAATCAAATTAAGAAAAAAGTTATTTCTTGCATTTTTGCTAGCCTATTAAAAACAATTCTAAATAAAAATAATGGTAAGATTTAAATTATTAATATGTCAGAAAAATAACTAAAGCATATTACAGTGGCTCAAAATTAAATATCAACTTTTATATTACATAGGCCTAAATTCTAATTTTTCTTCTAAAATGTGAACAAAATGAGTACAATTTAAAAAATACTAACTTCTAAGTTTTATAATAGTGTATGTCTAGGAGGAAAAGAGTACATAGTTTTTTTATAGCACTGTGTACAAATTATCCCACTTAGAACTTGAACATAAATCTAAATTATTTTAAATCTCATAATAGCATGATCCAGGAGAAAAGTAGCTTTAATGTATTGGATATAAATTTCTAACTTAAACTCCAAGAATTATTTTTTAAAATAATGCATATAAGTCACTTAGCAGAGAATGTGGCTACAGCAAACAAACACTACATGATGCTGCTAATTCACTGTCATCATGAAAATTATCATTAATTTAAGAGTCCCTGCTATTCAAAAAGTCAACCATCAAAGTTGTTTTCTGCTTGTGCTAATGAAAATTTTCTATCAATTTGCAGTGGTTTATTTTACTTTGCAATAAAGTATCTTAAAATTCCTTATATAGGTAGGTAGGTAGATAGGTAGATAGATGTATCATTTTATTATAACTACTTTAAAGTTCCTAAAACATTTCTAACTGTTCAATATCAACAAAAGACCAAGAGTCATTTATAAATATTTTTCTTTTAAAATTTTTAGATCACTGAAACACAAATTTACACATTATGGGGTAACAACATAAATGAGAATATGGGGGAGACATATTTGATAACAACAGAAAAATTCAGAGTTCATGTTATTGTAGAAACGACAAGAAAAACAACAATTAATTCTACCCAAGAATCTTAAATCATTTGCTATTGAGTATGAATATAATAAATTAATAATCAAACCAATGTCTCTCACAATATAACACTTCAAGATACAGTATGATTCAATATAAATGCATTAATACTGTACCAAATGACAGCTTCAAGGACAAGGTATTAAATGTTAACATTCAAAAGTCTTCAAAACTCTTTTATACTACATCTTAAGCATAATGTCAAAAGAGCATTGTTAAAAGGGGGAAAATAGGAAATAAAATTTTATTTTATATTAGCATTTATCTAACCATCTCATAAAATATTATGTTTTACATTGAAATTACAGAAAAGCACTAATATCTGACTCCAAGATTGTCATTTTGATGTTGTTGTCACAACATCAGCAATAATTTTTTCTTTCCAAGGTTATTCTTTCACATCTTCACATTTCTGGAGTATAGGAAAAGAATCTCCCCCTTCCCATTTTAATTCTGTTACACTGCCATGATCAACTTACTGACTATACTGAAATACATTAATAAGATAGTTATTTTATCAGGGAAAAGATGATTTTTAAAAAAGATAATTTTTAACATATTATCTATAGTTTCATACTTATAGTTTATTATCTGTAAAATGTTGGAAGCTCAGAATTTCAGAAAAAAACAATTGAAATGATTTTTTCATATTGCAAAAAAAGATAAATTCTAAAGTGTTTAATAAACAAGGAAAAAGATATCCTTCTAGACTTTTTGATAAGAATATGCACTCATAGACTAATATACTATAATTTGTCATAGATTAGCTACTTCTTAAAATATATATTCAAATACATACATATGATATGTTCTTTATAAACATAGAACATACAGTCTCATAAACATTACTTTGAAAATTTTCATCATTTTGCAATCAATCTCCAAGAAATGTTCATGAACATTTCTCAAAGTCAGAATGTATATTTGTGTTTAATTTTGCCTAGCAATTAAATAACATTCCTTGTATTAAGCCATTCACTCATTTGTTCTACAAGTATCTATTATATCTACTAGGCATTCATATATGCCAGGCACTACTGCCAACAGTGGGAGTATGTCAAAACTCTCTGTGCTTTTGGAGGTAGCATAAGGAATTCTGGCATAGAATGGAGGCTGGGAAATGCACCATAAAGTACTTAGTCAAGTTCTGTTTAAGAATATTCATCAATGTGGTCATCAAATGTTTTATTTTTATTATTATTTAAATTGTATATAAATGATATGTGTTAATCATGTAAATATCATGTTTTTTTAAAGAGAGAGAGAGTGATAGAAAGAGAAAGAGAGAGAGAGGGGTTGAAATTTTTTTTAATATTTGTTTTTTAGTTTTCGGCGGACACAACATCTTTGTATGTAGTGCTGAGGATCGAACCCAGGCCCTCTGCACACATGCCCGGAAGCACGCTACCGCTTCAGCCACATCCCAGCCCCTAAATATCATGTTTTGAAGTATACAAGTATTGTGGAATGACAAGATCCAACTAATTAGCACATAAAATGTATGTTCACTCAAGCTTATTAAGAATATATGTTTTCAATTCTACTGATCTAAATATGCTCTTTTTTTACTTTCAGTATGGCTAAGCAGCATTCATAAGCGTAYTACTCACATTTACTCTGAGTTATTCAGATACTTATTTCTCTACTGATTTCTTTTTCTTATTAATTTTTAAGTATTTAATATATTATGACTATTAAAACCTGTTATAATGGTTATAAATTTATTTCTACCAGTTTATTACTTATATTTTAAGTTTCCTTATTATATTTGTCACCAAACAAAAATATTCATCATCATCACATGGGCAACTGCACCTATTTTTCAGGTTTCAGCAATCCATGTTAGGTACATAAAAGCTCTCACCACCATAGTAATATTTTTAAAGACAGCAGTATTTTTTCTAGTATATTTATAGTTTCATMATTCCTTTCAACAATTATAAAGTGGTAGAGGATGATCCAACCAGGTAGACAAACCAAAACCAAGAACACTATTAGTCCTCTAGCTATATAGCACTTAAAGAGATTTGCCAAAATTATTTTCCAAGAGAGAATGCTGACTACTTACAGATAGATATTTACCCATCCACAACAATTTTCTGAATAATTTGCTTAATTCTACTATAGTTGAATTCCCTGTTTACTGTTAAAACTAAATTATTATCTGACTACTCTAAATAACTGTTCTCAAAGGACGCTCTAGGCCTTCTAACTTTCAGACAGATTAAGATATGCCATTAAAATGTCAAACAGGAAATATTTTCCTAATTTACAAAGAAAAAATAAGGAGGAGGATAGAATTTTCACAATTTAAAATTTTTCTCTGTGATTATTTTCATAGAGCTTTTACATATATTTCACATCTACCAAAAAGCACTGTCAAATGACCTAAAAAAGTCATCACATATAAAAGGAATAATTTTAATAAAAGATAAAATAATGAACAATGCTTATGTGACAGGTTATCTTGATTGACAAATACAATTTAACTTTTGATATTTTATTGTATTTATGTAAACATTTTTTTGGCGATAACACTTCTCCTAACACTTAAAGAATACTTCAACATTCAGGTGTTCTTTGCATAAACAAGTTTGAGAACCACAAAAAAAAAAAATAACTTGATTACTGTGTTTTAGAATCTGTTCCTACAAATGAATGAAAACTGGAATGCAGATATGGAGACTGTACTCATGTTACAGTCATTTAACAAATAGTCATAGTTTATATTTTATGTAAATATTCTGAAGTAACGATGGCTTTACTAAATTTAAATGCTACATGCAAATTTATTTCTGATTCATGAGGACACACTGCAGGAATGTTTGCCTTTAAAACCCCTCCTCCTCAATAGCCAGCAACTCAGATTTGAGGTCCACAGGCCAGAGATACAGTCTACCTACTAACTCTAGGCCCATCAGGAAAGTTATTGAGACAGAACAGGTGAGAACTATGGAAACTAGCAAGATAATTACAGAACTAAAAATCTGACATGTAGTTTCAGCTTATTTCTGCCATTGGGGAATAAAGGACTGTAATTAGCAGATATTCCCATTTCTCAAAAGGAATTAGAAATATAAATTTTATACAAAGCATCCTAAAATKTATAAGGTTAACAACATCTTTTAAAATTTTTAAAACACCCAGTGGCCGAACAAAAACCTTTAACTTCTGCCCCATCACAATTTTGCAACCTTTGCTTTAAAACAGCAATTCATCTCAAATACTCTGAAGTTGTGGTTCAATGACAGAAAAGGGCACACATTAGTTTACTTGAATTTTTTGTATCCTCTTTAATATGTGAAACTCACATATTATTTGAACTCATATCTTAATATTTAATTTTTAAAAATAAAACCACAAAACCTTATGTTTAAAAAAGTAAAGGTCTTTGAAGAAAAATTTGACTATGGTACTGGTAAATCTTTACACATAACTGATTTTGTATGTAGGAAGTAAGAAAAATTATTGTTCCACTTATTCAGATTTAGAAAAAAAAGAGTTAAGAAAAACAAGAGGTTTACTGTTTTTGCTTTGTCATAACAAAATAAAGAATAACACAGTTAGTCTAWCCTGCAATCAATTTTTCTACTACAATTACTTACCTAAGGATGCATAAACAAATTTTGCCTCCTGATGTGAGTCTGCAGAACCCAAATCTTTGTTTACTTTCAATGTCTGTCAGTACAAAGGTAAAGTGCTGTCCAACTTGATTTTGGGATACCCTAAAATATAGTAAAAGTATGAAACAGTAAGCCCAGTATTTTTATTTTCCAAAAGAAAGACAAAGGCAAGAATATATCTATATGTGGCATTGGTTTCATCTATCCCATCAGTTGGGTTTTTTTATTATTTTTTTTAAATTTATATATGAAAGTAGAATGCGTTACAATTCTTATTACACATATAGAGCACAATTTTTCATATCTCCCCTCAGTTGGTTCTTAAAGCTGGAACTGTCTTCTAAAACTAGAATGAGTATGAAATGTGTAAACTCACTCATGAGTCAAACATCAAGATAAATTGTAATACCTCATAGACTGAACAAATTGAGCATATGCTAATCCCTTACCAGGAAATCATAAGACAATTTATTCTAACTTGTCATAAGACTAGAAGTCCTCAGAAAATATTTGTAAATTATGAAATAACTGTTGCTGAAACTGTAGAAGAAGCTACATGTGATGACTGAGTTCTTGTGCTCAACTCTATTTTCCCAGTCTGCTTTATCCAATATTAATTGCTTATATAGCAAATCACACTGCTCCAAAATCTAAGGGCAACCACCGCCCATTCTTTAAAAATTGTTTCTTTTGTTAACATTCTCAACCAATAAACTATCACAACAAACAGTGTTTTAGAGCTATCGATGTACCAAAGAATAAATTTTCAGGTAAAAAATAAGAATATGGCGTCTCCAAAGGAGCATACTGCTAAGCTGTAAATAATTTTAGCTAATTACTATCATAACACTATAATATGTGTTACACTGGGGTTTAAGTAACAGTATAAACCATTAGATAAAATCCTTACTACTAAAATATATGAATATACTTTCAGATACTAGATATAACCTTAACATTACATGACTAATTGAACATTTGATGCTCTGTCCCAAAATTTAAAAATCCATTATTCCTTAACTTTGGTTCTAAAACAGCCATAGTGATTGTAGAAAAGAAAATAAATTATTACCAATGGACCAATACTATAAACTATTTTGTCAGAAAATACTGAATTTCAAGTGCTGGATATTTAAGAAACATACATTAAAGTGGGCAATTTTTTTAAATTATATTCTTCAAATAAAACTTCCGCTGACTAGTGTGTCCTCTAGTGCTCAAAGTTTATGATATCCTTTCACAACTTTTCTTCCTTTTTTTTCATTCTTCCTATTGATTTGAAAATTTTAACTTTGGGGAAGTGAGGGAGGACAACTGAGTCCCCAGGTGTGAGGTAAAACAAGGAGTAGCATTCATCAGTAATACTTATTATTATCAATTATCCCATCATCAGAAGGGCTTTATCTTTAATATAGTCTCACTCATCCTTAGGAAAATATTTTCCTTAAATAAATTTTTCTTAAAACTTTTCACATCACACACTTAAGAAAACTGATAATAGGGTGTGAAAGGCACATAAAAAACAATAAATGATCTGTTATCATGCTCAAAGGAATATAACTCTATTAAATTCCCACTACATACAAGTAGTTCATTCAATATTTGTTCAGTAAAATACAAACAAAAGATTTCAAAAACTGCTAGAAAAGTTTTTGGAGTCTTCCATAATACTGTACTGTTTCTATGAAGCTACACTTGGAAGACAACTAGGCATGAGTATTACAACATCATACAGATGGTCTTTTCAATTAGGATGAAGTGAGATAGAAACGAGAACATATACACCTAATTTGAAAAGACACAATTCAAAGGCTCTGATCAAGSACATTTCTTTTATTCTGCTAGTGCTTACAATGTATACCTGAAGAATAAATGGAAGAAATACAACCTATTGGCAATACTGCTTTAAGATTTCTCCTAACTCACACCACAATGGAGAAAGTAAAAGATATAATAATCAAGCTTCTTTGTTCCAATATTATTTAACTTTGAATTTCTAGTCTCCACTATTTCTCTAGAAACAATGAAAACATGTTTCATTTTATCAAAAAAAGCACATGAAATCATTTTAAAATATGCACTAAGATGAGCTAAAATTATTTTAAATAGTGGCTCATACCGTACCTTTCAACGTCAAAGGGGAAACAGAACTTTGGCACGCTCTGTAGTACTTCCTACAAATGCAAATTAAAAGAAGAAACAAGAAGCTTTAGAATGTTTTTTAAAGGTGCAGTTAAAATGCTGAGACATTTTCTAGGGGGAAAAAAAGTTTGCTGGGTTTTTTTCCCCCTGAAGAAAAATAGCACAGGTTCCTAGACTAAAATAATTGATTATTAAAAAGGAATTAAGTTTGTGCTTTGGCAGATTGCACTGACAATGCCACGGAAGCCCCAGGAGGGAAAGGCCTGGCCTGAAGGGTATTAACACCCTTCACATCCCGCTGGGATTCCCTTCAACAAGGCCATATGGATTTTACAGGAAGCACCRCACCATATGGGTAAGCTACGTCTGCTGCTACTTGTACCACAGACTAGCCATAGGGACTTCTGACAGATCCTGGCTCAAAAATATAAATGTTGTTTCAATTAAAATGCAGGCAGAGAAAAGGGAATGAAGTTGGCAGCGGAATGAATCACTGAGAGGTGTTACAATTCTACATGTCCCATACTCAAATGGTTTAACAATGAAAAAATTTTCTATAGAAAAAAATCATAACACTTGGAACTAAGTTTTATCTTAAATAATGAATGTATATCTATAAGCAAACCTTTATATTAAACTATAACATATATTCTGGGTACTTTCATTTAAAAATTGCTTCATATTAAAATCAATGTTTTATGTAGCATAGAAATAATCTGATTTTGAAACCTTCAATGATTTTGTACTAAAAATAATTTTTTAAAATTTCAGAAATCACAAGTTTTAACAATTATTAACAGAATGCAAAACATTGTCAGGTAGAAAGAAAGAAAGAAAGAAAGAAAGAAAGAAAGAAAGAAAGAAAGAAAGAAAGAAAGAAAGAAAGAATAAATCTCACTAGATCTGAAAATTTACTTCAAATTAACTGACTCAAAAGCTAAACTTCAGAATTGAAGACAATATCATACAAGTTCAAAGCCCTGGTGATTTTAGAAAACAAAGCAAAGATGTATGAGGCTATTTCCTATTAAAAAGGGGGAGAAAAGTAAATATCTTCATCATTCCCAATAAAAATACTTTAACAACCACCTCTTCAGCAATAAAACTAATACCCTGTGAAATCATCAATATCAAATTTTTAAACCCAATATATAAATATAGTGCTGAGTAGAATGTCTTGAATTCTCTCAAAGTGTACACTGCAATAGAATAACAATAATAAAACATTGTAGAATTCCTATATCAAGATCTAAGAAAGCTCCAAGAGCCTTAACTCACGGAAGCAAAAAAGAAAAGCCTGGTGTAAAAAAACAGCACACTTCTACCCTTAGGGGCATTGTACCCAGGCTTCCTTATGAGCATGGACCTTTAAATGCAAGAGCTCAGGCCCCATATCTGGAGAAAGCTATTTTACTACTGATAATATATTGTTAAACTTAATTACAGGAGTCACCAAACTGGAAGTAAATTACTAAAAAATAGTTCAACACAAATAAGAATAGTTTATTTTTACTTGACTGTTGCTTAATCTTTAACTTGTGCTGCATCAAGTGAAGCCATTCAATTTATTACAGACATGAACATTATTCAGATATCCTCCTACAAAAGTGCATATGCAATTTCYATAATAGTCTAAATCCAGTGTCCACCTATAAATATATCCAAATTAGTCATATATGTCACATCAATGTTAAGACTCAAATTAAGAAGGAAGCTTCTCAGTTAGTTGCTCAGTCTTTCACACCACCCCCCTCCTTTTTTCCAAAAGCAACACACATGCACACACTTCTGCAAAACAGCCTCAGCTCGCTTCCCAACTGGCAGAAGCATCCCTCAGGGGACAAGTCTTTAAACCTCCGCACTCTTTAAAATTCAACCAGCCAGCAGGTCTATAGACTAGTGTATAAACAGTATAGACAAAAAAATCCTCTCTCAGCTTATGTCAGTGACAAAGCAGCTCAGCAGTTGACTGTTTCTCCCCTGACAGTATAAGCAGGGTTTACACAGATCAATAGCTGGAAGTCCTACCTAGCTCCCAGGGCTCGGTTTTCTTCCTTAATTACAGGTGCTATTCAAACTGAAGTTGTAAAAGAAAAGAAAGAGAGTTGGAGGGAGGAATAAATATTCAAACAGTTTTTTCAACGCTTTTAGCAATAGCGCTAATTGAAAATTTTATTTCTACATTTATTGGGGAAAATGCTCATAAATGGCTGATACTTCCACCACACAGTTTTTAATATGACACATATGCATGCACACACAATTCTAGATTTGCATTCACAGATTACATGAAAGGTTTAAGGCAATGCTTTCTAGAAGTTATCAGTTTCCTGTTTCTACAGGCTTTCATTTTTTTTTAAATTTCCTTAGCCAATTTCCTTATTTAGAAATTCCAGAACTCCTAACTCTCCTGAATATATTATTCTTATATAAAAGAACATATCAGCTAACACATATCAAATGATAAAAACAGAAATAACAAAAGGAATAGAACAGAATACAAAAATATGCATAGTAAAATACAAGCAGCAATAATAAATGTCTGTTTAAATCTTAAAAACAAGACATCTATTATCATATTAATGACTGTAGACAAGGACTAATGAAAATTTATATATTTCTTGGTCCTATATCAATCTTATAAAAGAGAAGAGAATTAACTGATAGTGCTAGCTTTTTATCCTATGAGGTTACCATTTAACATTACAAATTGATCAAGTAAAAACAAGCATTTCAGAAAGAATTCGCCTTTTAAAAAAAACAGTAAGTTCCATAACTACAAAGGTATCAGAATTTCTCTGGGGRAAAAAAAAAGAAAAACTAACACGAAATGAGATTTTTCATTGTGGATATCAGTAATCATTTTTTCTTCCTCCTCARCCACTTCGACTCCTACTCTATTTTGAAATACTAGTGTTCTCTGAAGTTCCATATTTTTCTCTTCCCTACTCATTAAGGAGTATTCTGCACCTTATCTATACCTAGGGTTTCAAAACTACAACTACTCTTCATCTTATACTTTGGACATATCTTTGAACTCCAGGACTATATGCCTACCAACTTTCTGGTATCACTTTCCAGATAGTCCCAGATACCTCACATTATGTACAAAACAAGTTGTTCTTTGAGTTATATAGTGCTTTTTATCTAGAATGACAGCACCATCTACCCAGTTACCTAAGCCTAAAACATGGTAGTCAYCTAGACACCTCTTTTTTCCTTGGCCTCTCTATATAAACGATCATTCACCAAATCCTTTAATTCAGTTTCATAACTTATTCCAAAAGTTCTCAATGGGGGGGGGGGGAGGATTAGAAGGAAGATGAGAACAGAATCACTTATGTTTTTCAAAACACATTTGATTACTTATACTGCAATCCCCCAAGGGTCCTGAGTTTTTTGCTTCAGTTTGAATAGCATCTACAGTTAAGGAATAGAAATAACTTTATCGGCTAAGAGTATTTAACACATATATAAACAGAGAGACAAGGCAGACTTGTTCAAGGACTGTTTAATTCAACATCGTCCTCAAGGACTCCTTCTGCTAYGCTGTGCTGAGTCTCCTAGCTTTGTCCTCAACTACCTCTCTACTCATGATCACTGAACAAGCTAGCAAAGTTCAGAACATCACACTAAGACACAACRGCAATATAGCAGTATGCAGTGTTTAATATCAGTAAGGAAACCTTTCCCCACCCCTGACTTTCCCACTGTATCTAATTAGCCACAGGGTTACCAATCACCCTAAACTAATCACTGACAAGAGCACTAGCTACCTATGATCAGTTTTGCCTTAGACTGGTTAGAGAAAAAGTCAGAATTCAGACCCCTCACATTCTAACAACTATGACACATGTAATTATAAAGAAGTTTGGGTGAAGCAACATTTTTTTCCAAAGAATCCTGAAAATCAATCAAATAATAAAATTTTCACTAACGTTCTCAAGAAAAATATATCACAATGTTATAAAAGGACAGTTTTCAAATATCCATGATTTTATTTACATGAATAACACTTTCAGAATAATTTTGCAAAAACAAAAGGTTCACTTGTCATATTAATTACATTTTTCACAAAGGCCATAGATTTCTAAAAAGATGACTGCTTAATTTTAAGTACTATCTTTCCATATAAATGAGAATYAACACCATGTATTCCTTCAATCTATATGTGTTTTATATAAGAGAGTAATAAGGTTGTTTTTTTTTTTTCTTCTTAAAGGAAACATTTACTGAGCGACACATCCATGAGCAGGTTGCATAATGCAGAACTGAAATTCCCAAACTGTRCACTGAAATGTTTCAGGGCATAATAGGGAACTATCAGGGACACTACCAGATATTTAAATTTTCCAGGAAAACATACACACTCAGTTTTAATAAAAAGGTGATTATTTACTTTTTTTTCTTTTTCTTTGTAGTGTTAGGGATCAAACCCAGCACCCTGTATATAATGAGCAAGTGCTCTACCACTGAGCTACATATACCCTCAGCCTCCTAACAGAGTGATTAAATTAGAAATGCATTTATCAAAACTTTTTGATGGGCTGGGGAGGTGGCTCAGCGGTAGTGCACTTGCCTGGCATGCGTGCGGCCCAGGTTCGATCCTCAGCACCACATACCAACAAAAGATGTTGTGTCCGCCGAGAACTAAAAAATAAATATTAAAAAAAAAACTTTTTGATGAATTTTATTATTAATAAATTAAAATAACTGCCATTGGGCTGAGGATGTAGCTCAGTTGGTAGAGTGCTTGYCTTGCAAGTATAAGGCCCTGGGTTCAATCCCTAGCACCACAAAAACAAAACAAAACAAAACAAAAAATAACTGCCTTGAAGCAAATACAATTATTTTTAAAACTGCTAAGAAATACAAATTTCAAAAATTTTAATTCTATATGTATCAGTCTTAGGTGATAAGATCTACTCAGTCTCCTATCACTTCAGTTTGAYCTAATGCTAATGAAATAGCCCAGATCCAATGCAGGAGACTGGGTGTGGTGGTACACACCTGTAATTCCAGTGATAGGCTA